GCTCACGGCTGGCCCGGCCCCGCGCGTCTCACCCTCGCCGCTCCCTCCGCAGGAGCTGGTCCTGGAGCCGTCGGCCAAGCGCGCCAAGGCCGAGAACAGCCGTCACGCCAACGTCCTCAAGCAGGCCGCCAACCACCACAGCACCGTGCTCAAGCAGTGGCACAGCCTGCGGCGCCTGCTGGCCTCGCCGCGCTCGGCGTGGGCCGACCGGTGAGCGCCCGCCGTCCCCACGCGCCGTCCCCGCGCGCTGTCCCGGCTCATCCTGCTCTGCTCCCGCAGGAACCCACCGGAGACCCGCTGGAAGCTCTCCAGCGCCGAGACCTACTCGCGCATGCGGCTGAAGCTGGTGCCCAACCTCAGTTTTGACCAGCACCTGGAGGCCAGCGCCCTACGGGACAACCTGGGTGAGGGAGGCACGTGGGGACAGGGCCTCGTGGTGGATGGCGATGTGGCCAGCATGGGGCTGAGCTCAGCTCGTTGCAGGAGCCGATCACCTCCACAACCCCGCCGAGTCCCTCCCGCTCGCCGTGGCCAAGGAGGCCAAGGTGAGCGAGCTGAAGGACGACCAGCTGGCTGAAGAGGATCTCCCCGTCCTGGAAAGCCAGTGAGTGTCTCTGTCCCCTGCTGCGGTTTTTGGAACGTGGTTTTTGGACCGTGTCATCATCTCGGGGATGGTCACGTCCTTTACCTCTGACCTCCTGGAGCTTCGGGGTGCTGGTGGGTCATGGTTGGGACCCGCCTTTGGTCACCTGTGGTCACCCCTGTGGTCACCCCATGTCACCCAGGAGCGAGCCCAAGGAGCAGAGCCAGCGGGAGAAGCTGGTGATCTCGGAGGACTGCGAGCTCATCACGACGGTGGCCGTCATCACTGGCCGCTTGGAGGTCACCACTCAACACATCTACTTCTACGATGGCAGCAGCGAGAAGGAGGAAACAGAGGAAGGTACAGGGGCCGGGTCACAAGAGTCCAAATCTCCACCAGCTGCTCCCAGAAATGTCGGGACACATGGGGATGGGTGCGGATTCCTCCAGCAAGGCAGTGAAGCCCCCCATCCCCAATCTCCATGCGGTGGTGGCCTGTTTGAGGTGGCTCTGCTTGGAGCAGGCTTGTCCCAGCTCCCGAGTCAGTCCATGGGGTGAAGTCCCAGCTCCTGGGTGGCCCCACGTCTCCATGCCCTGTCCCATCCGGGCACACGGGGAGTGTGGTGAACCCGGGGTGGTTTTGTGCTTCTCCCCCGGGCAGGGATCGGCTACGACTTCAAGCGGCCCTTGTCGCACCTCCGCGAGCTCCACCTGCGCCGCTACAACCTGCGCCGCTCGGCCCTCGAGTTCTTCTTCATCGACCAGGCCAACTACTTCGTCAACTTCAAGAAAAAGGTGAGGGCGCCGCCAGGGCCGCCCCGGCGAGCGCTGGGCTCTCGGCGGGACATGGCACCGGCAGCGTTGCCCGCTCTCGCCTCCGTCCCCAGGTGAGGAACAAGGTGTACTCCAGCATCCTGGGCCTGCGCCCGCCCAACCATATCTACTCCAGCCGCCGCTCGCCCCAGGAGCTGCTCAAGGCCTCGGGGCTCACGCAGGTACCGGCATCACCTCCGTGTCCCCACAACGGCGGCAGTGCAAAGAGGAGGGGGGGCCCTGTGCCCCACAATGCGAGGCTGGGGACAGTGTGGGATGTGGAGTGGTGTCCCCACGGGGCAACGCAGGGGTTCCCATGCCCGCCTTGCCTCTCAGCCCTGCTCTTTTTGATCCAGAAATGGGTTCTACGGGAGATCTCCAACTTCGAGTACCTCATGCAGCTGAACACCATCGCGGGGCGCACGTACAACGACCTCTCGCAGTACCCCGTGGTAAGGACCCTCGGCCACCACCGGTCCCCCTGCGCTCGCCGGGATGGTCACCCACATCCCCTCTGCTCTCCAGTTCCCCTGGATCCTGCGCGACTACGTCTCGGAAACGCTGGACCTCAGCAACCCAGACGTGTTTCGAGACCTGTCCAAGCCCATTGGGGTGGCCAACGAGCGGCACGCCAAGGACGTGAAGGAGAAGTGAGCGCCGCCGGAGGAGGAGGAAAGGCTTGGGGCACCCATAGCGGCTCCCACCCGACCCTTTGCATCGCCCCCCAGGTACGAGAGCTTCGAGGACCCCACGGGCATGATCGACAAGTTCCACTACGGCACCCACTACTCCAACGCCGCCGGCGTCATGC